CAATAGCAATTATGTTTTTTTTTTATCTAATCGGAGAGGTAAGACTATTAGCTTTCTCATTTGCTACGATAAATATCGCTTTTGAAGTTATTATTCACATACAGTAGTAACGTTGATATAAATAATTTAGTTGTTTCACAATAAAAATTCTAATGGGAGAGATAAAGAAATTAATCATATATATATTATAATGCGTTATAATATTAATAAAAAGAGGAAAACAACGTAACATCACTCCTATCACTATTCTCTTCCCGTCTTTTCATTTTTTCCTGACAGCTTATAGTTTACTTTCTAATTGCGCGTAATAGTATAGTTTGCGCTGTTTTACTTCGTATCCCGATTCAGTTACTCGGCAAGAAATTTGTCCTATTGCGTTCGATGTTGTTGAGTAAATACGAGTTTAAATACATCATCCATGTCTTTCCGCTTTACTCGCACAGCTTACGTGATACGTAATCAAAATAAATCTGCCCGAAATTGTGCGATTAAGAGTTAAGTAACAGAAATTATTTTAATACTATTAATAATTATTATTAATTATTATTAATAGTATTAAATTATTATTATTATTAATTAATAATAGTATAGAAATTATATTTTTGAACTCTGGTAAATAAATCGACCAGATTTCTCCACTTAAATGGCATAAATTTTCACGATCTATTCTTGTCAAAATCAGGCAGATCTAATCTTTAAGTATAATTTAAGTCTGCCATCTTATGCCACGCTTAAAATATTGCAAACACGGATGTAGAAGTACTATCGGGAATTTCGTTGACGTACTTATCCAGATATAAACTTCACTGCATGTCTGTTTATCTCGATTGCTACGTATATACGTGTATATGTATAAGACACTTTCGCGAATATCTTCATTTTATACACCGAGCTAAGCTCGACATTACAAACTTTAAGTCTCAGACTTATAATGAATTCGAGACGCGCGAGAAGCTGGCGTTAGATAAATATTTCTCCTGGTCCAAAATCATTAATAATACTAATAATACTTTTTCTGTACCTTAGTAAAAAAGTCTTTCCTGCTTCAACATGCTTTTCCACTCCAATATTACTAATAGGGAGAGAAACTTTCTTCCCTCTGCTCCAATATATTTTTCTACTCCAATCGATATACCTAAAGGTTTGTCCTCTACTCCAAAATATTTCGTTATCTTAATAGCTGATAAAGAAATCTCTTTTCTTCTACTACAAAATACTTTTCCTACGTCAAAATTATTAATGAAACGGCCTTTCCTCCAAGATTAGTTATGACAGAATGTTTCATATGCAATCATGAAGAAACAAGACAACACCTAATGTAATTTAACAACAGCTATCGCAAACGGTTCGATCCCTTGATAAAGTATAAAACACATTATTTTTTTCCTACAAACTCCCTATCTCACAAAAGAATCGAGAAACTGTTACCAACCGAGTGTCTCTATCCACGCAGTTCAACATATGCACCTGCAGAGTCCTGATCATGGCAAAGTGGCACAGCGATCAGAAACCTCTTTAACCACTTTGTTTCGCAAGTAGTAGCATCTAGACGATTAATATTGTATCTTAAACAACACCTTTCTCTCTCTCTTTCTCCTTCTCACTCATTCTTTCTCTTTCTCTTTTTTTCTCCCACCTCATCAAAGAACTGTTCCTCTCTATCCCTCTCACTCTCTCTCTTTCTCTCTCTCTCTCCCTCTTGTTCTCTCGTCATCAGCAGCTACGCCATCGTGAGATTCCGGTTTTGAAGGGGCTCACCTATTTTATTTTTCGAAAAAGGTCGACCAGGTCAGACGCTGGTCAGAAAAGTTAAGGGACTCACTTGCACTCACCGGTTCGCCGACAACAAGCGTCACATCTCCGCGTCGCTGAGAACGTTGTCGGTTGCCACTTTCCTTCTTCTCGTCGTCGTCGTGATGGTGATTATCGTCGTGCTGACGATTCTCTTCGGCACTTCGGAGTAATCCGACTAATCAGATTCCCCCTCGTCGTCGTGGAATGATATCACAACGGCGTCGCAATGGACAAAGCCATCTTGATAGGGGCACGCACACACAAACGGCACGCAATCTGCCTCCGATCGTGGCGATTAGGTCTTCTTGCCAGCACTGGAGGCGACCGAATGAGAGGCCAGTATGATGGTAGACCAGCATGGCTTGATGGCGCCACAAGACGATTACTGGTTTGGTCCCCACCTTCACGCTACTTTCTAAAGTTATCGGTTATCACTTGCGAAGAGGGTCTGATAAACTTTCGGCTACCCTTTTCTGAAACACCCTAGCACCGACATCGATCGAGTCCATTTAAGGGATTTCGGGTGGTATTTTTGAAACAATTATAATACAGATGGATGATCGGGTAGACCTTGAAGAGAAGTTTGTGGCTACAAGCAGCGCCACTTTAAAGGCGGCAACTTTTGAAGTCGGAGATGAGCTGGTATTTTGTTTAGAAATAAGTCGATCGAAAAAGTTATCTTTAATCGAAGCTACGAAGATGAAATAACATGTATTATCCCCAATAAAGAACATCGCGAGTTAGCGCTGTCCTTAATTCCGCAAATTATGCGTGGATCTTGTTCGAAAAGCAATTTAAAGACGATCAAAGTAGCGTCTTTAAAAAAATGATTAATGATAACAAAAGCCATTAAAAAATAATATATTGTCATAATGAAAAATAGACGTCTAATTGAAAATAAAATAAAAAATAAAGTAGAACATAATATAAAATTAAATTAAAATTACAATAAAATAAAGAAATGATTTATTAAAATAAAATTAATATAAAATTAAATTAAAATTACAATAAAACAAAGAAATGATTAATTCAAATAAAATAAAATTAATTATAAAACATGAAAATCTTGATAATTTGACGCTAATTGGATATATATTGAGATTCTCTTAAATATATTTTATTTGAGAGCACTAAACAATTATTATCTACACTCTACAACAAGTATATCATTCTGCCTTCGTTAAAATACGCTATTTCATCCTTATTTTTGCCCCAAGAGAAATGACCTCGTTGCGAAAAAAATGGATCGCACGAATATTTCTCACAAATACCACACTAAACAGCTTTCTTTCTTTTTTTTTTCCAATCTCACACGCTTCTTCTCTTTCTCTCCTTCCATCACACTCGCTTGCCCGTTCGCTTCTCGAAATAGATAAATTCTTACTTGCACATTGTATAGTAGATTCTTAAGTATATAAATAAGTCGTAAGTCGCGATGCCTCGTTTAGATTATTAAATTATGTATATGTATATATATACTGTATATGTGTATATGAATATTCAATATATCTTTATGTTGTATATAGACTAGAACTCCTCGACACGTATCACATACTAATATTGACTATCGTGTTTCTGGACGAGACTCAGGAACTCTTTGCGTTCCAAGTCCTGGCGACGTTTTCGTCCTTCTGACCCTCTCCTTCGAACATCGAGGATTCTCAGCGATGATTAAATCATCATGAATTTCTCTCGATCATATGTATATTTTTATCTATGCAAATCTTAAAACGGGCTTTGCTCATTCGAATCTTTTAATGCTAAAGCGATTATGTAATCGGTTCTCTATGATCGAAATACTATCTCTCTCTATCTCTCTCTGCGAGATTGTCAGAGAGACGAAAACGCGCCGTCGTCTTATTGCTGCATCATCATTGACTTTAGGATCGTGACAGTGTCAACTGCTTATAATCGCTAATACTTTCGCAATACTTTCGCAGTAATTTCGCACTTCACTTGGACTTGAAAATGAAACTGAATTAATTTTCCTAATCGAAATGTCACTCGAAATTATCGTATATTTTAATTGTTTTTATGGAAAAAGAAAGTGTTCTTTTTTTTTTATTTTTAATAATTAATTTGTATCTTTCAATGTTTCTTTAATTAACTTTTGATTATTTTGAATTTATTTTTCAATTTCTCTTTTATTTGCTTTACTTTATCTTGTTATCTTTATGGAAAAAATAAAATGATGTAATTTTCACTCTTTCGCGTTTTGATTTTTAGATAAATATAAATTATTTATGTGTTAATATTTAAAAAAGATTAACTCTTTTTTCTCCTTCTGGAGAACTTAATTTGCATTTCAATAGTACTCTAATAATTAATACTTTCATATAGCCAAAGGCATTTTCATTTTCAAAACTTCTTTAGCTTAAGAGACTCTCCTACACATCTTATATTATCAATCTTAGACTTAGGCCTGCAAAAACATTTGCAAATACTTTCAATCCTTTCCTCTCGCTATTCTATCGCATTTTACCAGTTTAATTCTATGGCTCGTATTCTCCCACGATTTACGTTTTTTCACGAGAGAGATTCTTGGAGCTATCGCAAAAAAAGTAGGAAGAAAATTGATTTTTTAATTCGATTCTCCGCTGGCGACCGTACCGTCAGTCGGAGGACCGGTCACGATTGGTGGATCGTTCGTAGGAAGCCCTTGCATCTCCTGCACCCCCTGGAATAGTTTGCCGGGGAATCCCTGCAGGAGATCGTAGGAGACTGGAGTGGGCGGTAGGGCGGTGGTGTGTGCATGCGGCGATTGCAGAACGGCTATCACTCTCCGGAGCTCCTCCAACGCGTTCCCTGCGGCATCAATTAATTTGTCATTAATTAATTAAAACCTTGCGATAAGCGTTATAAAATGATACAGTTTAGATACTTCATACACTCGAAATATATAATTTAATTTTCTTATGCGTGAGAGATTGTTTAAAAAATTTTTAAACTATTTAAAAATATATAATTATGATATTATAATATAATAAATATAATTATATTATTTTTTAATATAATTATATTAAAATAATTTTTAAAAAAATACTTTAATTTTAAAATTAAAATTTAGACGAGTATATCTCGCTACACATCCTCATTACCTTGCATAAGGATATAATTTTTCGCCAGGAGAAGAGTAGCTATTTTCGATAGCTTCCTCACCGAAGGACTATGCGCGTAAGGGATGACAGAACGAAGTTCGTCTAGGGCGTCGTTCAAATCATGCATCCTTCTACGTTCTCGCGCATTAATATTCAGCCTTACGCTCTTTCCTTGACGAGTCGTCTTCGATTTCGATGGACAGTTCAATCGCGAAGCTGTTGGTCTGAGAAAAAAAATCACATGCGTCAGCATTATTAATTATATATTCCTTACAAAAATATATTTCATCCAATTATTTTATTACGTATTTATATGCGCAATCCCAGTTGAATTTTCCTATTTTTAATTATTTTATTCTTGCAAATTCTCAGGTGAATTCATTTTTCCATTTAATTTAAAATTTTAAAACATGATTAAATCGAAAATAAAAACCTCTCGTCCGGTCGATTCTCATCGGACAACGCGCTCGACGAAGCGTGCGGTTGGGGTTGTTGTTGAAAATAAAAACCACCGAGACCCACGGCACCCAGCGGAGTCCTTCGTCCTGGTGCACTCTGGGTATGTTCCGATGAGTACGCTGCCGGTGGGCCCGAGACGCCCGGATGTGAAGCCCCTGGGGTCGAGTATACGGATTCGAGGGCCGCTGCCGATTGTGGCGGCAGTGGATGCTGGGAACAGACATTTTTTCGTATCATTTTTGTATTATATAATTTTAAAAATAGGGAGAATATATTTAAAAAATATTTTTAATTAAATATATATTTCTTATATGTCCTACTATTATTACTTACGACGTTACGATGCTCCCAAGCCCAGGTAGGATGTGACGCTGTGCGTTGCCAGGATCCTTGCTGTAGATGAGCTTCCGGCAGGCCTTCCCTGCGATCGTCGTCCTCTGTTGAGCTGCTCTCGCCGTCGTAAGATCTCATCCTTTACTCTCTCGATTTAACCGACGAATTCTTCCTCTTCTCTTTACTCAATTCCTATATTTGCAAATTCCAGTTTTGTCAAAAATAAAGTCCTTGATTGCGAATTTATTTCATCAACAAAACTTTTTTATTTCTTTTTTTTTACTTGTTTTATTTGATGCAATTATTTATTTTCACGTTTCTCGCGAATAATTTCTCTTTTTCGCTGGAATTAATTTTATTATTGCAGTTTTTCCATCTCCAAATTTCTCGCATATTTTCATTTCCGCAAATAAATTCTCAATCTCGCACGAATCTATTTCATGAATGCAATTTTTTCTAAAATTTGCATGTATTATTTTGCAAAGTGAATCCTTGCTTCGCTCGTTAAATTTGATTTTTGAAAATTTCTCCCGAATTTTATATTCACGTTCTCGATCGTCGAATAAACTTTTATTTTCTCATTTTCGCATTTATTAGCGAGCCCAAAACATGATTAAATCGAAAATAAAAACCTCTCGTCCGGTCGATTCTCATCGGACAACGCGCTCGACGAAGCGTGCGGTTGGGGTTGTTGTTGAAAATAAAAACCACCGAGACCCACGGCACCCAGCGGAGTCCTTCGTCCTGGTGCACTCTGGGTATGTTCCGATGAGTACGCTGCCGGTGGGCCCGAGACGCCCGGATGTGAAGCCCCTGGGGTCGAGTATACGGATTCGAGGGCCGCTGCCGATTGTGGCGGCAGTGGATGCTGGGAACAGACATTTTTTCGTATCATTTTTGTATTATATAATTTTAAAAATAGGGAGAATATATTTAAAAAATATTTTTAATTAAATATATATTTCTTATATGTCCTACTATTATTACTTACGACGTTACGATGCTCCCAAGCCCAGGTAGGATGTGACGCTGTGCGTTGCCAGGATCCTTGCTGTAGATGAGCTTCCGGCAGGCCTTCCCTACGATCGTCGTCCTCTGTTGAGCTGCTCTCGCCGTCGTAAGATCTCATCCTTTACTCTCTCGATTTAACCGACGAATTCTTCCTCTTCTCTTTACTCAATTCCTATATTTGCAAATTCCAGTTTTGTCAAAAATAAAGTCCTTGATTGCGAATTTATTTCATCAACAAAACTTTTTTATTTCTTTTTTTTTACTTGTTTTATTTGATGCAATTATTTATTTTCACGTTTCTCGCGAATAATTTCTCTTTTTCGCTGGAATTAATTTTATTATTGCAGTTTTTCCATCTCCAAATTTCTCGCATATTTTCATTTCCGCAAATAAATTCTCAATCTCGCACGAATCTATTTCATGAATGCAATTTTTTCTAAAATTTGCATGTATTATTTTGCAAAGTGAATCCTTGCTTCGCTCGTTAAATTTGATTTTTGAAAATTTCTCCCGAATTTTATATTCACGTTCTCGATCGTCGAATAAACTTTTATTTTCTCATTTTCGCATTTATTAGCGAGCCCCACCGCCATTCGCGGGGCGTCATCGGCCAGTCTAACGCAATCAATAGTAAGTGGAACACTTACCGACGACGATTTTTTTCCCAGCCCCCGCGCGTTTCCCCGCGGGGTGCAGAATAGCGGCGATCAGCAACGCTTTTCGCGCATCAGCGCCCAGCGCCAAATCATCCCTCCGTCCGTGCTTTATTTGCACTTTTCCGACAACAGTCAGGGACAACCGGGTTTCGAGGAATCGTGGGGGTTGCCGGAGCCTTTTATCCCGTTACCGAAATCACTCAGAGCCAATCACAGCCATTTTAATTCAGCATGAATCGAGTCTCGATGACCGATACGGAGAAAAATCTCGCGAACCGTTTGGAGATCTTTTTCCATCCGCAGAGCCTTTGTTCCCCGAGATGTTCGATCTTTGAAGATCTTTAAAGATCTCTCTTGTCCTTTGATGACGATCGGTAAATTTAGACAAAATTATCACGTCCGAACGAAGCACATCGGGGGCGCACACGCGTCTCCTTCGTTGTTTGGCAGGTCCTGCGCAGGAGACAGCGCAACCCCTAAATTAGTTCGGTCGCCGTGTACAAGGGTGCGCCTGTTACGGCCGAGGGATGCTGCGCTGGACCATCGGCTGGCGTACCCTGGCGGGTCAAGCTAAAGATCCTCTTTGCATATCTTGTTACCATCGGAAAAGGAAACTCGTGTCTAAGAGAAGCAAGAGAAGTCGCTAGTTGCCGGATAGATATTGTACGCGAAGAGATGCTGCGCATTTAGTTTTAATTTGTAATAAAAATTATACTTGCATAAAAATTCTTTGATGGTAGGGGAAACTATTTAAAAGGTAAAAATTAAAGAACTATTGAAAAAAAAAAGATATGATCAAAAAAATAATAATTAAGATAAACAAAACAAGATAAACAATCAATTTCCGAAATTGTCAAACATTTTTCAACAAGAAAATATGTATTGTGTTTACGGAACAATTATTATTATATATATTAATAATTAAATTATATCGTATACTTAGTTATACTATAATATTCTAAATAATGTAATTAAAAAATATGTTATTACAAACCTATTAATATGATTGGTATTTATTAATGTAATTGGGGTAATTGCAACAACACTTATTATACCAGTATTAAAATATTTATTCTGTTATACATACGATGCACATTATATTTTTGTTCCTTTATTTTTTCTCTATTTTATTTTCAAATATTACATATTTATTATTACATTAATCAAGAGGTTCTTAATTTTTGATTTTCGTAAAAAAATTAACATCAATTCGTCGATGTCGCAATTTTGATAAGTTTCACGTTCCCTTTTTTTCACAGTACTCTGCTTCGTCCGATTTACTACATACCGTGTTTACAGTCCGTACATACGTTGTCATTGAACGTGATTAACGGACACGTATTAGCGCGTGGAAAAATACCATGAGCATCGCGGGGATTCCGAGACAATTTGGCGACGATCATTCTTTTCCACCTTTTTTGCGTGTAAATTATACCTCCCCCCTTCCCGCGTCTCACCTAACACGAACGCGAACGAACGACCGTGGTTAGTAAAATTTCATTTAATTTAATAATAAATATTGGATGAGAAAGAAAGGAGTAAATATTAAAATCCTTTTTCTCTCTAAACGCAAAAATTTAAATAACAACACACAAGTGTGTTTACGTATATCGAATAATATCTAGATTCTCGTTACCGCGTAATAATACGGCGGAGAGAGAAAGGGTTAAATTATTACGCGTCAATGTGCTTTGTTCGCTCACGAGATACGCCCGAGATCTTTCTGGGTCGAATAGCATCTATAGTGCAAGATTTATCGCTTCCTTCGCGCCGAGGAATATATCCCGAGATTGCTCGAAAATAATTGCAAACGCATCTGCTTCGAAGTACAGCGCGAAATTGATCGCTTCAGCATCCGAATCTATTAATTAGGAAAGAATAATACTATTTATTGATTCATTGATCACAGAAGGTTACATCCACGAAATCTTTATAGTTCCTCCCCCCCACCAAAAAAAAAAAAAATACTTATGGTTTCCAAAATCTTTTTTAGCGATAATTTAAAAAACGATTAGTCTATGCTTAAACTTTTTTCTTATAACAAACATATATTGTTTATTAATTTTATTTAAACGGTTCAAAAATATATTAAAGGTTTTAAAGAGATAAAATACGTATAATCATCTTTGACCACACATTATTATGAAATAGAATTATTTTCTCGATTGATTCGCTTTGCTAATATCGTGTGATGTATTTATTTAAATTTTATATATTTTATTTCATAAGCTTTAAGCAACTCGGAAAAATTATTCTAGAAAAGTTAAACGGTTATTATCGTTTCCAGAACTTATCCTGATTGTTTTCTTTTATATTGTACATTGTTTCTTGATATCTCACACATTTGCAACATAAATTTCAAGCAGAACGAAAGAAATTACCGAGAGAGAATTAAACGCAGCCATCTTTGATAACGTTATCAGGAAACAGGTTTCGTCCGGATTATTTCCGAGCGGAAGAACGCGTGTCGCGAGGAGCGGTCGGGGAAGGAAAGCTGAAGGAAAACCGGGAAGGGAAAAAGGATCTCTCTCGCATACGCTTACGCATACACGCGCGTGCAATCGTATCTACCGAGTACGTACCGTTCGGCACGTATAGATCGCGAATCCGATGACGAGAGAAGGAGAGCGAGAGAAAGACAGAGAGAGAGAGAGAGAGTGAGGGGGTGGTGGTCGGCGTTCGGGGGTGGTTTTCGGACCGACGGGCGGTCCGGAGTCCTGAGGGATGAGGGACGACGAGGGTTGCCTTGGCAACCCTCCGTGCCAACCAGCCTCGGCTTACTTTAGCCCGTCCTCGCGATCAATACAGCATCCCCCGGCGAGCTCCCGGACCAAACGCACCCCCCCTCTCTCTCTCTCTCTCTCTTCCTTCCCTCCACTGCTCGTCCGCCCGCCCGTCCCGTCCCGTCACATCATCCCTCCGCGCTTCTCACGGAACCTTTCTCCGCTCCTTCTTCTCCTTACGTGGCCTCTCCATGTGCGCATTACCGTCGACCATCACAAACCAACCCTCTCGCGTTCCTCCCCCCCCCCTTTCTTCCTCGCCTTCCGTTATCTCGCGCTTCCCCTCTATGAATTTGTCTTGAAAATCTCATTTTATCATTTGTAGTGTTGTATTTAAGATGCTTTTCATTTTGTTTATTTATTAATGTTTACCTCGATTTGTATAACTTTGATTCGTAACGGGAGCCAGTCGAGGCAACATTTAGTCCTCCAAGTTTAGCTACTTGATATTATGATAAGAATCATAATATCTGGACAAAATATATATTACTTTATGTATATCTAAAAAAAATTACAATTACATAAAAAATTAGGAGATAAATGTCGAAACATTTATAAATATTTATAAATATTAATATCATCTGTATCTTTTTTTACAATTGCATAGCAATGAATAATTGATTACCAAAGTTTTCATTCACATGGCACAAATTTGGTAATTAATTATTGTCAACATCATATAAAACTACATTTTTAAGATTTTTAGTAGAATATCTCAGCTTGTGACTAAACTCGAAATGCTTTCAATCTCATCGCGGTTTCAATCCCACCGTCAAAATTAACTCCCGATAAATGGTCGTTTATCGAGCAAGAGAGAGAAGGGAAGAAGGAGAAATACGTTAAATAATTAATCTAGCGATTCGATTAACACAAGCCCTCGCGATATTCTCGCTAAAAGATCTAGGGCGCAATTAATTTTAATTAGACTGTCGAGGATTTTATTTAAAGAGAGTAAGAGATTAAAAAAAAAAAGAGAGAAACAAGTAAATAAAATTTGGTTTTCTTTGTTGCTCATATTGCTATCTCTTTTTCTACCACCCCTTCCTCTCTCTTTCTCTCTCTCTCTCTCTCTCTCTCTCTCTCTCTCATTCCCTTTTCCTTTCTCTCCAGTGCTTTGCATTTTAATTGCATTTTGGTACGCGGCCCGTTTTGCATGTTAAAGCCGACCGCGAGGCCACTTATTGCGACGAGGGGGGACGATGATGGGCGATGTCGCACGGGGCGCGGCAGAGGGGAAGGGGAACAAAGGCGGGCGCGGGAATCGTCGTCGTCGTCGTCGTCGTCGTCGTCGTCGTCTCCGGCCCGGCTCGAATTTGGTCCACGGATCATCCCGCGAGCGAGCGAGCGAGCGAGCCGAGGCTGCCTGCCGTCCGCTATCGACAGTTTTCCCAATCGTATCCGTTCCGGAGAATTCTCCCCCTCCTTTCTCCCCCTTCTTTTTCTCTCTCTCTCTTTTTCCCTTACCCTCTCCTCTCTATCGTTCCCCTTTCCAACCCTCATCGACATTGGGTGTCGCCGTAAGCGAAGCGATGCAATGCGTATCGCTGCATGCGATGCAAAAATCATTATGCAATATGGGGTGAATTTTGTTTTTGAGAATCGAAAATCATCTTGATAATATTTCCTTTTTTTACAAACAAATAATTAAAATAAATTCATTAGCTCAATATTAGAGTAAGCAGATTATAATAATTTGAATTGAATTAACTGTAATAATATTTTCTATATATAAATTATATAATAATACAAATGTGTGTATAAGATAAAAAAAAGATTGTAGGGGACATTATGAAAAAACGAGGACTAATTAGATTAAGAAAAATCAGGATTTATTATCTCGAAGCGTCATAAATATAAAAATCGATAATACTACTTGTATTTTATGATTTTTCTGCCGACAGAGAATTAACAGGAGTGTCCGCTCTTCTTTCCCCGTCAGTATTTTACCGCTATATATCGCGGAAAGATCCGGGTGTGAAAAATGAAAGGACCGCGATGAGACGCGTCGAGTCAGCAATATTTATCCTCGGTCGGAAACAGCTGAATCAAAATAACATCGCGAATTAAAGTAGTGTTATTGCCAGAATCGCGGAAGCTGCGATGGAATCGCGACGTAAGGGTAAAGAGCGAGGGTGAAGGAAAATCGTTTTCAAATTTAACTGATGCCGAGTCGCTGAATGTGGCCGATCGATTCGCAGGCTCACTTTCCCACAGGAACACCCGGATCGGGATTATCCTGGACTGCGTGAACCACGGCTACGTGACAATTGCGCTGTGATATATGGCATATGGAATACTACAGAACAACAAAGTACTATACACATAGTACAGATTTATTTAAGAGAAAGAGCGAATGTAATTTTTGACATAAAAGTCGACCTATACAAAAGAAAAAAGAGGAAAAGGAAAACTTTCGAAAAATATCTGTTTTCAACGTATTAAGCTTAAATCACCGCCTTTATTTTTTCCGAATAAAAATCATTAAATAACATCAACGTCTTTCACTCTTTTAAGAATGAAGGATTTAATTCAGAGAGATGGAATTTTTAGAGAGCGATATCCTGCGAGTCCTCGCGTCGGGGGAACGCGAGGAGACGCTCGCTTCGTCATTTTTCTCGTAAATTCAACGACACGCGGGGGACGGGAAGGAGTAAAAAAGAGCTTCTTGACGGAAGATTAACGAAGAAGAGGGACAAGAGAGGAGGGCGGAGAATGAGCTTGGTTCTTACTTCGTTTCTCGTAGCACTTCGCCTCTGCCGAGGAAAATATAAGGACGCAGGATCGGAATCTTGAATTACGCTAATCGAGTTCTTCGTCGTCCTGTCGGATGATGCGCGACGAATATCCTCCTGGATATCGCCGTTATT